ATTTGCCGCTGTGATATGAACGTGGAAGTTGTCGGTTGTGGTCAGGGACACCACCATGTATGCGGTGTCTGCCGAGGTGAAGGGTCTGGACACAGTGGTGAGCCTCCTGGCCGATGCGGTCCTGCAGCCACGCCTGCTGGGTGAGTCCGCCGCCCGCTAACATCTCGGCCAATCGGAAGGTGGCGTTTCTGACGACGCGTTATTTGTGTCCAGATGAGGAGATGGAGATGACAAGGATGGCAATCCGCTTCGAGCTGGAGGACCTGAACTTGCGGCCGGACCCTGAGCCATTACTCACCGAGATGATTCACGCCGTGAGTCTGCCGTTCTTTCGGTGACTGTCAAGCAATGAAGTGCGCGGTGCCCTCAAGTGTAACAATTGGGTGTAACGTTGTGCATCGTGCGCATCTGGTCGAAGGCGGCGTACCGAGGCAACACGGTAGGACTTCCCCGCTTCTGCCCGCCACACAACGTGGACAAAATCGACAAGGCGGTGCTACACGGCTACCTTTCGGGCTACTACCGTCCCGAGCGCATGGTCCTGGCCGGCGTGGGTGTGGAGCACGAGCGGCTGGTGGCGTACGCCCGCCGCTACCTTCTGGGCGTCCGGCCCGTATGGGCCGACGTCACGCCGGTCGCCGTTGACCGCTCCGTGGCGCAGTACACGGGGGGCATTGTCAAGGTGAGCGGTGCCGCGCTTTCTCACCTGGGCGGCGCTTTTGGGAACGGGCGAGTGAAATAATCATCGGAATGAACGTTTCAGATGGAGAAGGACATGTCGGACGTGAGCCTGGGACCCACACCCATACCTGAACTCACGCACATCATGATCGGACTGGAGACTTGCTCCTTCCTGGTGCTTACCATCGTCATTGAGATGATCTATTTATATTTATAGTAGTCTTGTGTGTGTTTGTTTATATTGGGGTGTATTCACAGATATGCGGTTAGATTTTTCTTTAGTTTGTTGTTTGCTTTTTTTTTTTTTTTTTTAAGGGTGTTTAGTGCTTGGTTTGTTTTTCTGCGTTTTAAAATGTTTGTGTTTTTTTTTTTTTAAGTTCTTTTACTCTTTTTGTTTTGTGTTGTGGTTTGTGTTTCGCTTTTTTGTTTGTTTTTGTATTTTGGCGGTTATTTTGCATTTTTTTGTGGGGAGGGTTATTTGTAGTTAATTTTTCATAGCGTTTTTATTTTTTGTTTTGTGTCTGTTTTATGTGTTTTCCCTTTGTGATGTTGGTTTGGTGCGTTTACATTTTAGTTTTATAGTTCATACATTTATTTTGCTTTTGTTTTTTCGTGGTCTACCCTTTTTTGTGGTGTGTTGTGTAGTTTTTTTTTTTTGTTTGTTTGGATCGTTTTCCTTTTTTTAATTTTTCATTTTCTGTTACTTGTGTTTGTGGTTTATTCGATTTTTGTTGTGTTTATTTTAAGTGTTTTTTTTAAAAATGTTTTATGACTTCATTTATCCTTTGTCCAGGAGGACGACTTCATCCCGTTGGCGGTTCTCAACATGATGATGGGTGGCGGTGGCTCTTTTTCGGCGGGCGGACCTGGCAAAGGCATGTTCACGCGCCTCTACCTCAATGTCCTCAACAGGTACAACAAATTTTCATTCAGTTAAACATAAAAAGAGGAACAAAAAAAAAAAAGTATCCGCAACAGATATGTTCTCCCCCCCCCCCCCCATTTTTTTTTTCCCTGTTTGTCTTTTGTTGGCGTCTGTGCATTTATCATTCATTCTTTAGTCATTGTTGCTCGATAAACATGATAAGAATGTGGCCACCACAGGTGACCCGCATCCTAGCAGGGGAGCACTCCATCGTTAAGCTATGTCGGTATTAATTTTGTGTGCATTTTGTGTTGGGATCGTCGCGCGTTTCCCAAAGGCATCACTGGATGTACAACGCCACATCGTACCACCACAGCTACGAGGACAGCGGCCTGCTGTGCATCCACGCCAGCGCCGACCCCCGGCAGGTCGGACCCCGACTTGACGAATGTCACACAGATCACGGAACCCGTTCCCTTCATACTCATCTCTTCCACTTGTTACCCCCAGGTTCGCGAAATGGTAGAGATCATAACACGGGAATTCATTCAGATGGCAGGAACGGCGGGAGAGGTCGGTGCGCCGCTTGGACTCGTGCCTTGTTGGTTTTTGTATTGAAATTCATTGACATTGTTTTATTTGGGGGCGGAGTCCAGATGGAGTTGGAGCGTGCCAAGACGCAGCTCAAGTCCATGCTGATGATGAACCTGGAAGCCCGGCCCGTCATCTTCGAAGACGTCGGCCGCCAGGTGCTCTCCACGGGCAAAAGGAAACTGCCGCATGAGCTCTGTGCCCTCATAAGTGAGTAGGGGAGGGGGAGGAAAAATGGACGTCTATTTTGTGGGAGAGGTCAAAAGTCAAACAAAATTTAAATAAGAAAAAGAAAATTGACTCAAAATTAGAACATTTGATAAAAATGTAAAAATCTTACAAAATAATTTTAAAAAACAAGATAAATATATATAATATATGAAATATTTACACATGCACACACAATGAAAATCCATTTATATACAATTCATCGATATAATGTTCCTGACCGAATTATAGAAATTTGGGGGGGAAATGTTCTTTCATTTTTATTTTATTTTGGTTAAAAATAATGAAATCAATAGTTGTTGTCAATATGGAAAAACTAAATTAGCCAAAATAACGACTAAAATAATATTCAAAAGACTTTCAAGAAATGTTTATCTTAAAATACTGAATTTTAAAATGTATGAAAAAACAATTGATAAAAATTAAATATGAAAAACAAATTCTTCCATCAATTCTCCAACGAGATACATTTTACAAAAACATCTTAAAAATAAACTAAAATAAAATGAGCAAAATCTGTGCTAAAATTTCTTTTTTTAAAACAATCCAATATAAAAATGTCATAAAATTTGACCCAAAAAAATGTCCAAAGCGGAAAAGGAACCAACAGCACAGGCTCTGTTCCTAAAAGAAAGGTGAATTAGCAAGTACAAAGATAGAAAAATGTTCGGAAGAAACGCGTTTGACCAAAATTAGGTCCTTCCTGATTGTTTGAGTGTGCTGTTTTGGGGGGGTGCATTGCAGGTGAGGTGAAGGCGGACGACATCAAGCGAGTGACAGCCAAGATGCTGCGCAGCAAGCCGGCTGTGGCGGCGCTGGGGGACCTGACAGAGCTGCCGTCTTACGAGCACATCCAGGCTGCCCTCTCCAGCAAAGACGGGCGGCTGCCGCGCACCTACCGTCTCTTCCGATAACAATAATAATCATGATTCTGAAAAAATGTACATAAATAAAACAGACACTGAACTTTCGGGGTGCGGACCAATACCTGGAGTCAACAGTAAGTCACCTGGAACACAAGGTAGTATTTATTCTTTCTCTGTGCTTCACTTCGGGGCTGGCCAAAGAATATGAAAAAAAAAAAAAAAAATCACAAGTGGCCACAGGGCAATACCAAAATCAGACTGGATACTTTTTAACTACTTTTTAAACTTCATTAAATGAATACAAATTAATTGAAAATGTAAAATACAAAGTAAAGGAGGGCCTTAACAGGGACTACTACTAAGATTTCTGACGAAGCTAAAGCATCCCCCTCGCCCTGCTGTCGCACCGTGCCTGTCAATAATCAACATAAGCACTGACAATTTATCCTGACCGCTGGTGAAAAACATGTGAAATGTTTGAATGAGGAACACTTTGTAGAATGGACATTTCAGACAAGATGTCTTCTTTTTATTGCTGACTGAAACGTGGACGTCAACTGTGTTAAATAAAAGCCCACTTGACACATTAAAAAAAATGTAGTACAGTGTTTCTGTAGAAAAAGAGATCCTGAAGAGATTGAAACAGGCACTTTTTAACGTTTTTTCGTGGAAATGACAGGACCCAGGAATTCCAGTACATAGACAAGTTACAACAATAGTAATACAAGTAATATAAAAGGCAGGGGCTCTCAAACCCTTTGGGTTCATGGGAGAAATTTTTCCAAGTATCCCATTATAACCTTAATGCCAATTAAGCTGTTACAATGCTGTAAGAGTAAAGTTAAATTTTTACAGCATTTTTTTTCATCAAAGGACAATTCAAATTCTTTGTAATTTCTTTAGAATGTTTTTTGTGGTAATCCTTATTCGATCGTCAAATCAACTTTCCCATTGAAATGAATGAAAATGCCATTAATCCATACTGCCCCCCCCCCCGACCCTGCCTCCAAAAAACATCATAGGTATATGTTTGTGATGTTTTTTAAATAGCACTCTCTAATTTTGCTATGTATAAAAACAGATTAATAACCTATTTAAATAGAATAGAATTTTAAAAAATACTATTCTTCTAATAGTATGCTTTTTACTCTGGCAAAGGATGACGTTTTTCTCCCATATACAGTACAGTATACATATATAAAATGTATTTTTTCTTACGGATGTCACAATGATGTCAATGCTTTTAATCAGCCCAAAGCTAAAGTAGGGAGGTGTAGTTGGGTCATGGTTTGTTTTCTCATTTTCAGGGCCCCATATGGATTTTTTTTTTCAGGCTGATGCTGGTGTTTGGCAGAAAAAAAAATCTGATAATTGATTAATCATTATGAACATTATTTAAAAATATATGTATAATTAATAAAAAATTATTGTTTTTCAAATAAAGATATGGATTACAGGCAGAACATTTGACAGTTTTACAATATTTTTAGTATTTGTTTAACTTTATACTCAGCGAAAAAAAAAGTGCCGATTTTAAAAGTGCCAATATCAGCTGATGTATCGTTTCGACCCTCAATTTGAGAACACCTGATACAAGGCATATGGTTAGAACCACACACAAAATCTTTGAAATGAAAAAATGGAAAGGTAGCAGCTGCTCATGATGACAAATTTAAAAACAACCCCCCCAAAAAATCTCCATTCTTTTCAATGGCATCTAAAAAAAACACATCTTTAATCATGTGCTAGTTTCTCTAAAAATGTCCCAATGCATAATGACATTAATACTGACATCGGAATAACGGGGATGTCGAGGTTCCTGCCCTCGAGTTCTCCCCATTCTGACCAGTAGGTGGTGCTGTAGGTACCGTCTGTAGTTTCAGGTGTATCTCACGAGATGGCGCACACGCTGCTTTGGTTCTTCATGGCCTCCCTCATCTTGAGCTCCCTGCTGATCCTCCGCTTGATGCCCTCCAGGTACAGGCTGCGGTCAAACTGGCCCGCTCCCAACGGAATGCTGCACAACACAGACACAACAAAGTTCTAAGTTAGTGATGATTTTTTTTTTTTTTTAATGTCTAAATGTCATCATCTTTGTCTTATGTTGTAATGTGGTGTTGTGTGAAAATATCCTTTAATTAGCCCCCAAAAAATCTGACCATTTTTGCTGATTTTAAAAGAGCTATATCGCTCACTCAATAGGCCACGCCCTACTTTTTATCAACTTCTGATCCAACTACCTCCTTACATACCCATCTATTGACTTACTTATAGGTGATACTTGTCCGTCTAACGACTTAAGATTGCAATCAACCTACTTAACTGTACATACCTACCTACAATAGTCGTAGAAATGTTACTGCACCCCTGGGTGAGATGTGTTTGCACAATCTCTCGAAATTATCCAGCAACCTGATCCTCCCCTGCCCCGGGTTTTCAATGGGGTTGAGGTCTGGGGATTATCAGATTGCTTCTCCACCAATCAGAGAGCCTCATAAATGGTACTCACGTGTCTCGGCCCGCCTTCAGTTTGACGTGGTAGATCCCGATGACGGGCCGGTGATCCGAGGTCTTGATGCTGGAACAGCTGGCGTATTTGAGCACGTGGATGTCATCTGCATACCTGGTCCGGAACAAGATCCTGTCCTGGGGAAGTATGCAAACTTTTTCTTTGAGGGGATGGGGGTTGACGGCGGCCGTGCTTCTTACTGTGTACGATGGTGTCCTCTGTTTGGCGCTGGTGTCATACACGTCACTGCCAATGTCAAACTTATACGTGGGCAGGAAATGGATCCCGGCCTCCCGAAAACCTTTGAAGATAGAACCTGGAAACGCCACATCATCTGCATCAATTTCATTCTGTGGTTTAAAAAAAATCTACAAATAAACTTTTCTACACTATACCTCTCTACCTACCTACCGACCTACTTCTCCACCAACCTACCTATCTTGATACCTCCATACCTATCTACCCACCACAAGAAATGCATGAAAATCTACCATCTTTCATCTCCTTGGACAGCTGGTCGTGCTCCATCAGGGCGTCCATGTGGTCGCCCGACGTGCTCTTGATGATCGTGTCCACGCTGGCGCGCTCGTGACCCAGACGGAAGTTAAAGTCCCCGAACCAGAAGACCTGGTCGAACCTTGTGGTGACGTCAGCTACGTGACACAAAGACAGAGGCACAGCACTTTAGGTATTGCCCTACAGGACGCTAAGTGACCACGCAAAACACTTGATTCATACATTTTGAAAATGGAGAGATGAGCCTAATCATTCATAGATGATGCAAAAACAATAACGTGAATTATGATGATGATTATTAATATAGCAACTTTTAAAGTGTTGAAGTCCAGATGTTATGGAAAATAATTGTAATAATAATCATTCAATTCCTTTGTTATATGTTGTCAGTTATCAATTTAACACAATATATTTTTATATCTTTACAGATCTTTGTTTCATCATTTACACACGTATCAATTAAATAATTCAATGGGATAAATGAATAAAACATGACCATGAAGAGCAAAAATGCCCTCGTAATTGATACTTGCCGAAACAGGGTTAGGATTGCCCGCATATGCCACAAGATGGCAGCAAAGCACTACATTTATATGAGACATGACTGAACTGTCTATTAAGAAGCTCCTGCACCTCACTACAATCTAGTTCTTTGCCACCAAAATGCCACAAGATGGTGCCGAAGCGCTACTTTTATATCAGACGGCCCTGAGCACAAATTGACAAAGAGCACAGGCTCTGTTACCAAAAGAAAGGTGAATTAGCGAGTCGAAAGCATACCTTGTTCTTTATTCCTGCCTTTAGATTAAGAAAAAAAATTATTCATTTCGTGAAGTCAGATTAATGTGATCGTAATCATATCACAAATTTAAATTGTCTTAAAGTTCACGTAAGGAGAAAATGGTTTATTATGGCTTCTCATATGATGCGTGCGTTATGTTTGTCTTGTTGATGCACCGCTCCCTTTTTTTCCAAATGACACAGTATAGTTTTATTGCAATTTTGCGGGCACCCAAACGACAGCCCTTAGTTTGAAAACCACTTCCTTACATGACGTGGATCGGTAGGGGTTGGTATCCGGGAGTCCCTTGGGAAGCGCCAACGCCTCCACGATCTTGTTGTAGTCCAAAATCCTCTCGTACACTTTGGCATCTCCGGCTGGAAGACATTTTGTATCGCGTTTATCATGAGGCAGGGGAAACCTTGGATGGTTCACTAGCCAATCGCAGGGCACATAAAGAATTTCGAGCCTTCAATTAACCTGACATGCGTGTTCTTTAAAAGGCGTGAAAATAACGTGACAAAACGGCATCTTCCAAAGTCTGCCTTTGACGCTTACAGGTGAAGTGTGACGTGATGAAGAGGAAGGACGTGCCGAAGAAAGTGAAGGCCACGGCCACGGCCCCTTTGGTCTTGATCTGCGAGATGATCCTGGTGGTGACGGTGGCGTGCTCCACCTCGGAGCAGAACCAGATCAGGTCCCTGCGGATGAAGGCGCTGAGGTACAGGACACCGTGGGATGCTCCGTACAGCATGACATAATGTGGACCCAGAGACTCCTGGAGGCGTGTCTCCCACTCCCTCCTACGCACACACATAAATGAGTGATGCCCAAAGCAACATCATAGATCATAGCCGAGTACCTGTCAGGACATCCTTCCTGCACTCCGATAATGTAAAAATCTTGTGCAAATTCTGAGTCAGTCGGAAGGAGGAGGTCATCGAGGTTAGACGGGAGGCCCTGGGGCATAACAAACATAAACACAATACAAAGACACAGACACACACACACACACAGACATGCACGCGCACATACACACCATTATTGAATGAAGTTCAGTGATGTTCACGCCAATATAGCGTTGTCAAGAATCTGCATCGTACCTTCTCGCCCTGCATGTTCCATGTGACCACGTAGACTCCGAGCCTCCGGTCAGGGAAGTAGCGCTGGAGCTCCTCCACCCCCAGCAGGGCGCCGCTACCTAACCCTCCACCCTCCAGAAAGCTCCTAAAAGACACCGCACTCACTTACTCACTTCTTTGTTTATTGACCAGATAATAACGGCTGACGGAAAGGTCATTGTTTGACCCTTAAAGTAGAGCTGGGCCATTGGTTGGTTAACCCAACGAGATTGACCAACTCTTACTTGACCCCCATAACACAACTTCGCACAGAGAAGTCCAGATGCCTACAACATCAATTTTCTTGTGCTTCCCGCCACAAGTGCAGCGTACCTGTTTCTGACTTCCTGCGGTTTGATGGGGCTCAACACGCTGCTGGTAGACCTCATGGAGGTGACGGACAGGCTATCTGAACCTGCGTCGCTCTCGCTCAGGTTCCTGTGCAGGAGCAGCCTCTCGTCGCTCCTCCGGGCGCAGTAATCTGAACAATCCTTGTCAATCCTATTAGTGGCCTTCAGCGCGGCCGACATGAAGTTGTGCCGCAGGGCGGGCAGCGGCGCCGATCTGGACTGTACAGGCGACAGGCGCACCCTGGAGGACCGCAGCCGGAGCTCCGGGCAGTCGCTCGGCGGCTCGGCCGTCGGGCTGCCCTCGCAGTCGGACAGGCTGCTACCTCTCTTCCGGAACACCCCGGGGGGCGCCACGCTGGACTCGCTCGTAGGGGAACCCAATTCTTTGAGAGAGTCAGTGGACGAGCCCACCGGGTCGCTCAGGCTCTCTTGGCTGGATCTCAGCTTCCGGGCACGGACGTTCTCCTCCGGCATCTTCTTGCCCTTCCACTTGTTGGGCAGTGAGGGCGGTCGAGGTTGGTACGGACTATCCCCCGCCGCGTTCCGCGCAGCCTGCTGCAGTTTGAGGGCGTTATTGAATTCCTTGCACATTTTGCGGTCCAACGACGGGCCCTTTGGCGCTCGAGCGTCATTGGCGACCGTCGCCGGGCTGCGGTTGCCCGGCCTCGCGCCGTCTCCGTTCTCCGTCATCCTTGGCTCGCTTCCACTTTGATTTGTAAAATGTCGCCCTGTTTCATCCTCTCGCTCGAAACAAATGAAATAATACAGATACTGGGATGAATCTGTGGCTAACAACACTTGGCTGGATCGTAATGCGGCTAGGCTAGCATGTTTCTCGCTAAACTAACTCAGCATAGGCCGATTAAACACACTCTACAGATTCTCAAAGGCATTAAAGACATTCTAGCTGTCGTTTGATTGTCATTAAAATACAATCAATCCGATAGTCCCAGCCCCGTTTACCGTCGGTTTACCGCCCATCGGAGCGTCTCGATTACAAATAAGTAGCTGGGCAACTTCCTTAGCAACGTTTGACAACAACTACTTCGTTGCCAAGAGGAAGTTGGCAACGTGGTCAACGAAGCGCTGCACTGCCACAGCATGGTCGGCGGGGGAAGTACATGCAACTCTGCACGCAAGTTTTCCTGGGGAAGTGAAGGCCAAAGATCCTCATTTGAAACCCTAACCCTGTTTGAAACCATAAGATAAACTTGTAACCCACATTTACAACCACAACCCTGACCTGAAACCCTAATTCTTGGCGAAAACCCTACCTTAAAAAAAATAACCTTGGCTTTCTTAAAAGCCTAAAACTGGAAACGTAACATTGTCTTGAAACCCTAACCATGATTGCAAGCCCTAACTTGAAAGCTCAAACCTTTCTTGAAATTGAAACAGCAATGGTTGTTCTATACACTAACCTTGTCATAAAATAGCTTAATCCTTTATTGAAACCTCACTTTGAAACCCTAACCAAGACTTGGAACCCCACAGCTCTTCCTTGAAACCCTACCTTAAGCCCCAAGCTCTGGCTAACAAGGAATGGTGTTTTGAAGTAAGGTTTCAAGAATTGGTTAGGGTTACAATTGAGAGTCTCAAGCCATGGTCAGTGTTTAAAGACAGGGTTTGGTTTTCAAGTTAGGGTTTTAAGCCTGGGTTAGGGTTACTAGACATGGTTAGAGTATCGAGGGGTGTCACGATTTTGTCTTTGAAGAGTCAATTATACGATCAATTATTCCATCAAATAATCGAGTAATTGGCTGGATTAGTCAAATCTTCAAGCCTTCCGAGGCTGGATGGTAAAAACCATGGTTTACGTTTCAAAGTAGGGTTTCAAACAAGGGTTAGGGTTTTAAATGAGGGTTACGGTTCTAAAGCATGATTTCAAATCAGGTTCAGGCTTTCAAATTAAGGTTTCAGGCCCGGGCACAGGTTTCAAAGCAATACTGAAGCGATTCTACCACAATCAAGACGTACACATTTGACAATTGAGACACCGCTCTGCATTCACAATAAAACGCTGCAGAAAGTATCTCAATCCATTGAAAGCATGTGGCTCTTCAATCAGGTAATTAGTGAAGTTACTTATCTCAGTTGCTATTACAGCCTGTGACGTAAAATGAAAAAGCGTGTATGAAATATAAAAATCATGTTCTACTTCCCACCCCCGTGAGTGAGTGACGTCTCGGGGGAAAGTATTATTAGAAACGCGTCTTTCTTTTCCTCCTCGCTTTTTCTTTATCTTTCCTCCTCCAGAGGGCGCGGATGCTGGGGGAGGGGGTGGGGATCGATGGCCCGATATGAGACGGGGTCCTTAATGAGGATCAGAAACATCTTCATAAAGACCCCTAATCCAGCACTTAATCCCTCGTTACACAATCATCTGCATTCAGCGGGAAGCCTCGTCCGCCTTTGTCTTGACTCGTCTTTGTCATTTTGGCTTTTTTTTTTCTTTTTCCAAAGCTCTCATTACACTTTCAGATTGGGTGCAAATTGTGCTTTTGTGTGCACTCCTGCCCGATCTCAAATGGAAGACATATGCTTAATTAATGAGGGAGAAGCACACAAATGATTGTTCCCGAGTGGGACACGTGGATTAAAGTTGATGGCAAAAGTTGAACTCCAGAAACTCTTTGACTCGCCTTCGAACCTCAAAGGGTCCTTTTGGAAATGTCTTTTTTATGACAGCAGAGGACAGAGAAGACACAGAGAGCGGACATTTTGGGACAATAGGCCCCATCATATAACAAGCATTTATTCTGTTGGTCCATCATCATCTTCATTCATTCATTCTAGTTTTAACCCAAACCAGAGTAACTTTTTCCCCCTCAAATTGTGATTTCTAGTCTGAGATATGGTTTCAAATCAAGTTTTCAAGCTCATGTTGGGGTTTCCAATTGGGTTTCAGGCCTGGGTTCGGGTTTCACACAAAGGTTAGGGTTTTCAAATTATGCTGAGTTTTAATCTACAGTTTGAAGCCAGGGTTAGATTTGAAGCCTGGTTTGATAGTGCACCTCTCTATCTTGGCAAGCCAGAAGGTGGCAGTGGTTGTCCGGTGCACCCTCTCTGATCTGGTCTGGTATCAAATGATCAGGTCAGGAAGGCGGTGTGAGGCATCAGTGGTGTGAAAAGTGGCCGACTCTTCTCAACAAGTCAAGGGACTGCGATCCGGCATCGCATGCCCTATATTTAACACGGGGCTGCGTTCAAAGGGCTGCCGTGTGTATTGTTGGGGGGGGTTCAGGGACATCCCGTGTATAACAGGTGTGTTCCTGTCAGGCCTGTGAATAGAGCACAAGATACCATGCCACACCATCAATGAACACGCAGCTGTAGGAGAAACAAAGACAATTTCCTCAGAAATACTCAACAATGTGTTGTCCAGGAATATCAGACTGGTTGATTTTTTTTTAACTTACTGACTATTACTATTTACCCAGCAACCAAGCTACTTTCCTACCTTGCTTCATACCTAGTTAGCCACCTAGCAAACAACCTACCTACCTGTCTTCTTACCTAGCTAACTACCTTCATAGCTATCAAACTGCCAACATATTTCTGTCTGTGCCTTCCTTTGTAGCTACCTACATATCTACCTTTCAACATCGCTCCCTTCCCACTTTGCTACCTACCGAGCTAGCTACCAAGCAACCGACATACCTTGATTTCTTACCTAGGTAGCAACCTACCTCGCCAACAAGCTACCTACATGCTAACATACTTGCAACCTTACAACCTAGTTAATCACTATCTAGAATAGGTAGTACCTACCTAGACACCAAGCCATCTACATTCCTGCCTACCTACTTACCTAGTCATCAAGAAACCTGCTGTATACTGTATATCACCCTATCGATGCGCCCTCCTAACTAGCTACCTACTAAACTACAGTAGTATCGACCAACCTACCAAGTTTCTAATAGTTAAAGCTTTGTAATGGAGTCGAAACAGTACTTCTGCTTCCCCCCCGCCCAACATAAATATCTACTTTAGTACAGACGAGTGTGAGTACTTTCGTCACCTATGCCCATTCACAAAAAGAGCGAGCCGCCACTGTTTATTTACAGATCATTAGGGAGCTCTGGAAGAGCCCCTCACCAGACCCCGGATCGGTCGACTTCTTTACGGTCACGTCCGCCAGGGTGTCCACAGCCACTAGCAGGGCATCAAAGAAAAAAGTGACTGATGGGAGACCGCTCACTCAGTCCTAATCTGCTTGCAGGAGGGAGGATCCAATCCGGATCTTCCCTTCCAAGCCTGAGATTTTTCCAAGTAAGACAATGCATTAGCCAGATAAAGGCCTCTCGACTGAGGCTGGATCTGCAGGAGCCTTACTTTCTTTTCCGCCCTATCTGCTCCACGGACGTCTTAAGCTCAGCCTTATTTCCTGCCTCTTTTATCATGGCTCTGAAAGTCTCCTTCAAATAATTTCCCCCCAAAAAACAACCCTGATCCATTGAAAACATCATTTTTTGTCTTTGTCGTGGTACTCAAATAGAAAATTAAGGTTATGGTACATTTTAAAATGGTTGGACATAATTTTGAATGCCTTTCAAGTAGAGTTTTAAGATAGAGTTGGGGTTCAAAGTTAGGTTCTGAAGCCGGATTTTGGGATTGAAGCCAGGGTTAGGGTTTCAAAATGAACATTTTAAGCTTTGGTTTGGGTTTCAAACAATGGATAGGGTTCCAAGATATGGGTAGGGTTTAAAATTCGGATTTTAGTATTGTATTAAAGTTTGTCTTTAGGGTTTCAAGTCAGATTAGAGGGTGGCACAGTGTTGACTGCTCAGCATACCCGCCTCACAGAGGCAGAGGTCATGGGATCAAATTTGGCCCCAGTCTTCCTGCTTGATGCAACATTTCCAATATTTCAGGGGACACTCAGCTCCAGGCAGGCATTTGCTGTGTTTTTATAAGCTTGGTGAAATCATCCTCCCATAATATCAACTCTGACGTGTTTTATCCGGGTTATCAATGTCGTTGGTCATCTGAAGGACATTCCCATATCGCTGTTTAATGGTCTTGGAACAGAATTTTGGAACTCAACTGTTCCAGTACACTCTTTAAATGCTGATCAACTGTATAAATTGGCAGTTTTTGATTTGAGAAAGTATCCCAACTCAAACTGGTAGTGAAATATTTATACAGTATTTTCACACTCCAGTCAACTCAATTCTATTTCTGACATTGGTTGGGTCATATTGATTCACCACCGTGTGCCTTACCATCCCCTCCCTGTCCTTCTCCAACCGCCCCCTATACAGTAGTTTAAAAACATGACAATCCGGAAACATTGATCATTTCAGTTCAAATGCAGAATGACGAGCGGTGGATTGTGATGGAACACTTTGTCCCTGCTGTGACATTCCAGCGATGGTCACCAGTGGCCTCATTACGGCTAAAAATAGACTTCATTGTTTGTCTACTTTTTTTTAAGGGGGTCTTCAGTTCCGGGCTTGGTGTTCTCTTAAGCACTCAAAACACTGAGTGCAAAATGCTAACAGCTAAAGGCGGCAAATGCAAATGTGACCGTTTTGTTACTGCGAATGCAGGAACCTAAAACGATGTGCAAGCACAGCGGGGGGGGGGGAAAGTTTCCAGAGGGCGTGAGGTTTGCGTGGACATTCACACGGAAACATGCGTGCTGTTTCCTGATGTCACAGCCTCTTTTCCCAGGCTCTTGAGGAATTTGCTTGGGAAACAAAAAAAAAAAAAGAAAAAAATGGTAGGGGTCTGTATCAGAGATGGCAAAAGTCCTCAAATCGGTGATGTGGAAAGGGGGGGACGACAGGCGGGGGGGCCCCTGGCATCCACCTCAGCGGGACATCCACAGCTCCGATCGTTTATGAAGGGCGTCAAACGACAGGAAGGGGCATTCATATAGACAGCAAATGATAAAATCATTTCATTTCATATCTCAAGGAACCACTGTATTTGGTTTCTTCCCACCACTGCTGTGACAAACAAAAGGAGTGAGGCGGTTGGGGAAACTGTTGGTGAGATCGGACAACAGGTCTCACCGATGGCTGACAGCGACTGAATAAGAAGAACCAACTCGCGCAAGGCCCAGGAAACACACCGTCACACAGTCAGCATGTGCTCAGTCAGGCGCAACACACACATCATGTGGGAAACTGATCCAGGATCGGATAAGAGTTGATGAGGTGTGAACC